ACTAATAGTTGTTGTGTAACTCTGTTACTAGATACTTATATTTTTATGTGCTAAATGTTATTAAACTATCTTGTAATGTAACAGACAGAAAGATTTGATATGATACATTCTGTCGAGTAAAGAGGATAAATGTTCACTATCAATTCAGAGTTTCTAGAGTTCTTATCTCATTTGTACAACATAATCTCTTGGTGATATAATCCAATATAATATCCATTTTATGCAACTATTTCATTTTTTTCCAGTTGTACTATTTAAATCAAGTTGTCACTTGAAAATCTTTTCCGACAAAAATTGTCCTAATATCCTACTAGACATTTCTGTCAATAGACTTTGAACTAGTGCATTTCGATCATTAATGTTGCATACTTAAATTAGTAGAGCTATACTTATGGGATTTCTAAGATGGCGCTGAGGCATCAACTGAAAACCACAAACAATAAAAAGAGGACAAAAAAGAGAAGTTAATTAACATTTAAAAAATGCCAAAAGCGTCAAACTTAGTCTATAAAAATAATGGTTCTTATTAATCAGCAGGTTGACGGGAATCAAATGAAAAATTAATGTTGTCAAATAAATTAAAGGATGATATGCATGGAAATTTGTCATCTGGTGATTACCCAGTCATATATATGTAATAGACACCCTAAAAACGTTTCAATTTGTATTATCCCATTGGGATTTATCATTATATTGTGACATTGATGAGTAATTCTTATATCGTTGCTGAGCTGAATCATTTAATCAACTGAGTCCACCTTTTTTAACTCATCTTATATTGTGGATACTCTAACAATTAATGCCTTTATAGAAAAATGTTATTTTTCTAAGCAAAGATCATATTGAACTATAACTGCATTTATGTAGTACAGAATAACATCATTAAAATGACAACTCAATGAAATACAAGTGAACAGTGCAACAAAATTGAAAAAAATGGCATACGTATTTTCATCACTGGTTATGGATAGTCTAGACTATGTTCTATTAGATTAACACTAAATCTACACAGAAAACAATCAACTTGATCAAAAGTGGGTTTTGAGAATTTCGAAATCAAATGACTAAAAGGATAGATTAAACTTCACATCTAAAGAACACCTTCGAATATAGAGCTTACTTATTAAAAACAAACAGCAACAATTCATGGTGGTCCAAATGAACTAACATAAGGGGTTAGCTGATTAAATAAACTAAGTTTCACTCAAAACAATAAGAACACGATTTCTCATCCAACACACACAGCATATAATAACTACTTTTATCACTGAATCTAGGTTGTATGTTAATTGAAATATGTAGAATTTATTTCATTTGATGTACCATGGACCAAGAGAGTTTTGAAACTAATTTATTTTGCACCAGTCAGTTACTGTAGTTTGGTCAATATCATAGTAGTCTATTTGACATAAATCAGTGATATTGGTTAAATATTCTTGAAATATGGCAATAATGGATTTGTTGATTTCATAATGAACTTTCTTAATAAAAGTGATCGTGAAAATGTTGACTTTTAACTTTAAGATTTACCATTTATTATTTCTATATCTTAGTTTCATATTGAATGTATTTTTTGTAAAGGACGAATAAAAATAATGTGAGGTGATGATGGAAATTTAATTCATTTCGTTTTCATTCATCTCTTTAGAAATGAACTATCTTTTTACGTAAACAGTTATTGGTTTTTAATTAGGCAATATTTAAACGTAAATGTTTAAGGTTCGAACTCCTGTACATTTCATAGGAGAACAATTTTGTGGAGCTCTTAACTAAGTTAAAAGAACTATTCAATGGTCCATTAAATCCGTGGTAACATCCTATCTAAGAAAACGAATTTGTACAGTATCTGAAGTGAATTTATTTCATTTCGTACAGTATTTGTTAGTGTTAATTGTACAAAACTATTAAATACGTTAATGACAAACCATATTTTACATAATCTACCTTCTACTAATCATAATGAAGAGAAAGCTGAATATGTGCAACATAAAAGCCAGTTTATGTAATCTCATTTACATTTAGAACAGATGATAATATAATTTACGTTTACTTATAGTCATTCAAATAAACTTTTACAAACTCAAGTTTGAATAAACTAAATTTCATCTGTAAAATTCCGAACATAATCATGTGAATGTAATACATGAAGTTGAATTACTGATTTTTATATTCATATGGAAATTAGGTGTTTTATGACTTCTAAGTAATAAGTAAGGTAGATGATATAACAAACTATTGATTTCTAATTAGTAAAGTTTTAGAAACTGTCATTAAAAACAGTTGAGAACAATAATAATAATAATAATAATAATAATAATAATAATAATAATAATAATAACTAGCTGAATTATATTCATCTAGACAAGAATGAATGATGAACAAATGACTAAATTTCAACGATGTCAATGTACTAGAAAAAAAATTGTTCCTATGTTATTTAAACCAAATAAAATATATATCATACATGGCGCCTTTCCAAAAATACAGTCATTGTAAACACATTGAAACAAGTACTATTTCTTAAAGATTTAATTACAACTTTTCAGTAGGACTATTTTAGTTTAGTAATTTATCACACCGATTAGAAAAAAAAACAATATCTGACATTATGTATACATTGCAGTACAACTATCTACTTGTTATCGACTAAACCAACAACATAATTGAAAGTGGATTAAGTAGGATTTGACAATTTTGAAAGAAGCTGATTTAAAAGAGATGAAAGAATGGGTTTGGTAGAAGAACTCAATTTCAACTGGTTGGCTTGCCTATATTGTTAGTTAGTTTTAAATAAATGTTTTCCAATCAGTCTCATAGAAGTAAACTAAAAATTGATTGTCCATTAGATACTATTATTGGTGTGTTCACATTTTTAATGAAATAATTCAATAAGCGGATATAGAAATATCGATTGGCAAATTGTAAGTAAACTTCCATTGTATGATCAAATGTGACCATAGGCATAGTCACTAAACTAAATATTAATGTGAATTTAATGTTTCTATATTTTCTCATCCTTTTTTTCTTACATTTCTAAGTGAAACTGCCTCACAAGAAAAACATTTTGCAGTCATCTGGGACACCTCTGTCACATATATAAAGAGCTTGTATGCTGTGCAAAAGTTTTGTACGTTTTATTTCAAAAAATGTCAATAAAGGTCCTCAAAATTAAAATGATCAGCATAGATAGAAAACAGTTTATTGTATCTGTTGTCGATTTATTGTCTATTTAAGTTGGAATTGTGGAGTAGTTAAATACAAAGTACAAATGATATTTCAATTGATCAGTTTATAAACTTTCATTGACTAAGGTGATTATGAAATGTGATACTGATGTCTGTTTAAATTTACTGAACTATCTTGACAACCACAAAAATATACTGGACAAAAATTAATGCTATCAGATCAAGACGTAGCACCAAACTACACAAGATTATTAAGAGTTGAAAGTATAAACTTATTGTTTACACGGCTACATTTACACATAAACCATGATTGAAAGCATATATGATCTGATCAGTCTCTGTTATAGTGACTCAATTCATTCATAATCTTTTTTTTAAAGTTTTTAACCGAAGTCTTCTACTACTTTCTACCTAAGGTTTTTTCTAATGTTGTCGTTCAGAAGAACGATGAAAACTTCACGACTGAAACATTCAGCTCAAAGAACAAAACTCTATTATAAGTTTTTAGAGTTAACGTTATTCCATTTACTTCAAATGTCGATCTCAATCAAGTTTTTAATCGAAATAATTTTTTTTCTTTAAGAAACATTAGAATTAGTGATTTGATTTAAAAGTTTTTTTATATTAAAAATTTACGTTTGTTAGGAGTAAATTCTATGGTATAAATCAATATTTTAAGCAAGAATACGTCCCTCTCTCTCTCCCTCTATATGCATAACTATACCCGTATGCCAATTATACACATACAAAACTGCAGAAAAAAAGAGTAACACAAAATTGACTAATTACTCTTAGTGATATGAAGAATGATAATTGATAGATTTTGTTACTAAATGAAGATGATAAATAAATCGAGTTCTTTTTTCATATTTTGAATAGTTGAGATGAGATATCTTTTTGAATAAAATTACATCAATTTAACTGAAGCTCTACAAAATTTTATGATCATTATTATTACTGTTAGGAATTTTATTGATAAACTTTTTTAACGATGGTGATAGGCATGAAAATCGGTTGTGACAGTGTTAGAAATGGAACGTTCAACAACTTTGTTCCTCTCTCTCTCTCTCTCTGTATTATCAGCTAGATACATAATCTATGTTACTGTCTATTCACATATTTCATACACCATGGAATTTGATTCTTTCGTAGCTTTCAATTTGAATTATAGAAAGTAAAACGATGCAATAAAATCTCTATTGCAAATTTTAGTCATCACTAGTTCGATTAAGAAATAGAAGACTATAATACAACATATTAATTCATGAACCGTCTAATACAAGATATATAATCCATTTTATTTACGACTTGTCAAGTGAATTTACTTGTAACATAGAGTTGATGTTATCACTGACATTTTGATAGAATATCCAATGTTTCAAACTCAAGAGCGTTGTTCACTAGGTAAGATTAACTGAAGATAGAATACGCTTTATCTATTGCACAGATGATACTAAACAAAATGTAAATCACTTGTAGGGCATATGAGCAACACATCAAGGAATCTTTCTAAGGTGTTTATGTACTAAGAGATACTAATGAAATTTAATATTTTGATTATTGACAACAACAACAACAAAAAACATAAAATCTTTAAAACAAGATGTTATCCCATTTTTAAATTATCCCATCTCTATCACTTATTAACAAACTTATTCAACTCCCTGTTATTTGATCATGGTTTGTGAAAATCGAATGAGCTATGTTTTAAGAATCCTACTATACATTTTTAAATAAATAAAAACCAAATTATAAGTAAATTGTGCATAGAAATAATCTGAATAGTACAGAAACAATAATAAAATTGCCACTAACTTGTCATTTGAATTAAAAATGGTGGCCTGCTGTCTAATTTACCAGCTGCATGTATAACACGACAATGATAACTTCCTGTGTGTTCAATACCAAAAACTGCTATACGTAAATTTCCATTACTTCGAAATTCTGTATTTGGTAAACGCCTAACAAAATAAATGTAAAATAGAAATGAATTAAATCGATCATAGTGAAAGTATATATGTAATTAAAGTTTCATGCTGAATTTCATCTTTCAATTTGATCAACACGTATTTAGATAGAAATTATTAGTAAGTATTCAAAAAAAATATACTAAATTTCCTTAGTAAGATGAATGAGTCAGTTACATAGTTTGAGAGTAAGTTTCATGTTACAATATAACAGTTAAATACTGAAAGTTTCCATAATAACTTATAAAAGATACTTTTATTTTCCGCCCTTACCGAAAGGAAGTCAATGGTAGTCAACTGTGTATAAATATATAATTCATTCATTCTCTGTTAGTAAATTGATATTTAGAAGTTTTATGAAATCCTTACACAGATATTCCTATCCAGGAACACTAACACTGACAATATTGAGTTCAATTAACCATCAGCTGTAATGGACAGATTGATAAAGCGACAAACCAACAGATAGACCAACATATCATTAGATTTTCTTAATTCCCAGTCATATTATCCTCATAACAATATGATATATAGACTAAACAGATAATCGATTTCATTATTCATCAAAACTGAGGAGAAAACTTAGTAGAGCAACTAGTATCATTTAATGAAAATTAATTAGATATTGTTCATCCCCATTATAGTTTAATACACCGTATCCGATAATGAAATATGATTCGATTATTAGTTTCGATTTAAACGAATGTATGTTAAATTAATCATAATCTTGGTTTTGTACCAGCCTCACTCAGAATTTCAATACAAGATCACAGATCAATCTAGATAATTTTATTCTTTCATCTGAAGCTAACTGAAACTCTATGTATACAGCCATACTTAAAGGAGTTAGAATTTTGTTCAACTTATTTCCCTACATTATTAACATCGTAGGTTTTTATACATTTAAGTCTGTGAATAGAATTAAATAGCCATTTGTCATACGAACCTGTTGTTTGCTGTCCCCAACATAATAATTATTTCTCTGTTTTCCACTTGAATAATTACAGAGAAGACAAGTTGATGAAAAGTTTACACCTTCACTAGTAAACTACAGTAAATATTCTTAATCATCATATGTATAAGTTTACCATAGAAAGGATAGACAGCTGTAGATAAGCAAAAGTAGAGGAAAGAAAGACGGAGACAGGTAGAGAGAAAATGAATTGATGGGTAGTAGTTAGTTAGTAAAAATATTTAAATGATCAAGTAAGAATAAAGAAATAAGGTGGATGTATGTATGCAAATAGGCATATATGCTTATATGTATATATGCAAAGATTACAATAAACAGATATCTTTTATTAATTTGGGAGTCGCCTGCCTGTTTTGTCATTGTTAAAACAAACACCAAATAACAATAATAATAATAATAATAATAGATGATTATGCGATAAATTCACGTAAAACCGACTTTACATCAAATGAAAACAAATAAAGTAGAAAGTTTCCTTGACATTATTTAAATTATATTGTTATGATAATAAGAAATAACAGTAATAATAATAAATATAAGAATTAAAATATTAGAAGAGAAAATTAGTGAATAAATAATTGTAATAGTATTATGGGTAGTGAATAAATATGGTAGTATACTATAGACATGACTATGAATGAAATACGGTTGAATAAAGAATAGAATATGAAAAAAAAACCCAAACAACGAAAGATAAACAAAGTACAATTAATAATAAAGAGAATAATCAATATCTAAAGAACCATTTTTATTTATGGTTTCTCTATCAGTTTCTTATTAGACTATACTGAGATTATTAATAAATTAACAGGTAAATTATAATACTATTGATTAGATAGGTTGATGAGATTGTTATATACAACGTATGGATATTTATTAAACTAATAATCTAAAACAATTCCGTTGATGTTAAATCATAGAAATCATTAAGCTTAATATAGGATAAAAGTATAGGCATTCTAGATTCTATTCTCTTCACATTCTGAACAAAACAGAGTGGAACAACTATGTTTAGATATGTGATTTGATTAATGTATCTCTGTCAACTGCAAACTAAACACTTTTGATTTAGTTAGTCAGCTACAATGTAGGAGCAGGCACATATATGCATCGGTCGAAGTTGCCATACCTCATTAGCACAACAAGATGATCACCAAACGCATAGAAGCAGCTACTTTAATGGTAATATATAAAAAAGCATTTCATATAAGGATCTGATACAGGGAGAAAGAATTAATTCGTAAAAAGAAAGGTATAAAGCAATTTTGATCTCACGGTTTCAGGGAAGACAGAGAGTATATACACCTACGTCCTTGTGATCGGTTCTGAGCCATGTGACACAGAGTCTCCAACCAGTGGTTACAATAGTCACGCGGATCCAAACCAAGTAGTCTGCATCTACCAACATGGCTGAGACTAGAAGTTAGTGGCTTAAAGCACTGATGCCATGTTTTGCTTTGACCACCCTTAACTTTCTTCCAACCATCCCCAACAATAGTCAGCAGTGCGCTTCGTGATAATCAGGTGTTCAGGCATACGTAACACTTGGCCCAACCATTTCAGTCGACGAAGATTCACAATCTCATCAACTGATTTACCATCATTCCCTAATACACTACGTCTAACCTCACTATTACTTACCCAGTGATCTCAACAGATGCAAGTAATATTTCTAAGGCATCTGTAGTCAAATATTAGTAGCTTACGAGTATCTTCTACTCATAATGGTCACATTTCGCAGCCGTAAAGAAGAACAGAACGAACTGCTGCGCAGTATACTCGTCCATTAATTGATAGAGGGATATCTCGCCTTCGCCATAGGTGACGTAAGTTGGCAAAAGCCAAACGAGCTTTTCGACACCAACCCATTAGGGCTGATCAGACTCCCAAGATAAGTGAAGTTATCAACGCGCTCGACTACTTCACTCCCTATCCTTAGTTCAGGTGTTGACGCAGACCAGTCCTGAAGCAACAACTTGCATTTGGAGGGGGAAAAACACATCCCAAACATCCTGGCATTGTTGCTCAGTGCTATTAAAAGACTTTGCATTTTATCAGCGTCTTCACTAAACAGGATTATGTCATCTGTGTATTCTAAGTCGATAAGTGGATATTTTGGATGGAGATCAATCCCCGAAAATTCAGTGAATTTGTTTTAGTCGATTAATAATTAGTAGCCAAATTCAAAATTGTTTTAAACTTTATTCCATACATTATCAATTTCCAATTATCTGTTATTGAGGAATCATTGTTAGTTATACTTCTATAATAAATATTTCATGCAATTTAGTTTACTAAATAAAAATTATATTCAACTGCATTTTATTTCATAATAATTAATAATTTGTTAGTAGACATAGGGTTAGAAACATGAGATTACTTTGGTAGTCACATTGGAATGCGCTCTTCTTAATTAAATTCATCAAGTTCATGTCAGTTTGTTAGTAGTAGTAACAGTTTCACATGAGAGACTTATATTGTCAGAATTATTACATTCTTCCTAAACCTTGTCAACATGCTTACAAACTGATTAATAAGATAAAATTACCAACATTACAGGATGATTTTTCTAACAGTTTAATAATCAACTATTGACTATCATCATAAACACGATAAGCTAAAATTACTTGTTGCCAAACAGAGTTTATAAAAAAATCTAAAAAAGTTCTTTTATGATTGATTTTCGCCTGATTCATGTATTAATATTACTGTTACTGTTAGATATTTCCATATAAAATGGATTAAATGTCTCTAACTAGATTGAAGTCTATGATTCTCTTCCTTAATCACCTGTGACTATTGATAGTTAGTTTCTCTTGATTCAGTACAGTAATGTACTGACGGGACAATACATACAACAACACAAATAGTGAATATAATAAAACGAATTTCATAAATATTTTTATTTAGATATCACTAATTTTATCTTTAAAATCAATTTTATCAACCTCCCGATCAGTTTGTACTATAACTTTCAAAGTATTCTTGTCACTGTTTTTCAGACTATGGACGTAATAGCTTAAAATTATAAATTACAATTGTGATATAAACAATGTATATGTAACAAGTTAAGATACAAGTTGCATCAAACATCATTCAAAGCATTTATACTATGTCATAATTCTATCAATTACTTCATAATAATTCATTAACAGAAGTCCTCTGCTTTATGTTATTTATTCCCATTTTCCTGTTGTCTACTTGACTGTTAAACTATACTAATGAGTCAGAGATACTCATCCCGCCTATCATAGATTCATATATTGAATGAAATACATTGGTGATCCAGTTAGCTAAGAAGGTTAAACAATAGCTTGTAATACACACATATATTATACAAGTCAGCAGCCTTAGCAGTAGTAGGTCTCAACATACACAAAAGGAAAAACGAGATTCTCCCATACAACACAGCATGCAACAAGCGAATCACACTTAAGGGAGAAGATTTGGAAGATGTAAAAACCTTTACATATTTGGGCAGCCTCATTGATGAACACGGTGGATCTGATGCAGATGTGAAGGCACGGATTATCAAAACAAGAGCAGTATGTTGACAATAGAAGAACATTTGGAACTCAAAACAACTGTCAACCAACACCAAAGTCGGAATTTTCAATACAAATGTCAAAGTAGTTCTACTGTATGGGGCGGAAACTTGGAGAACTACAAAAGCAATCATCCAGAAGATACAAGTGTTTATTAACAGTTGTCTACGCAAAATACTTCGGATCCGTTGGCCCAACACTATCAGCAACAAGTTACTATGGGAGAGAACAAACCAGATTCAAGCGGAGGAAGAAGAGCTGGAAGTGGATAAGACACACATTGAGGAAAGGATCCAACTGCATTACAAGGCTAGCCCATGCTTAGAATCCTCAGGGTTAAAGGAAAAGAGGAAGACCAAAGAACACATCACGTCGAGAAACGGAGACAAACATAAGAAAAATTAACAAAAATTGGATAAATATGGAAAGGAAGTTCCAGAACAGAGTGGGTTGGCGAATGCTGGTCGGCGGCCTACGCTCTATTGGGAGTAACAGACGTAAGTGAATAAGTAATATTATACAAGCGAAAATGCACGTAGCGACTTGGGTTCGAATGTCCATGAATGGAAAACGATTCATTAAGTTGTTAATTATAAGAACTATACATAAACGTCATCTCAATGTATGCTACTTTGTATTACTGATATTATATTATGAAGAACAAAATTAATAGTATCAAAATACTATGATTTATACCTACAATAACAGTAAGTCAAAAAATATCCCTGTTGATATTAGAATTGCCGTGAACAACTCTATTCAGTATATACACCTTGAAATTAGATCAAATAAATATATATAAATGGAAATTCAAATGAGTGGATACATCACAAAGAAGAGAATTTTTTAAGTGTAAGTTATTGTAAATATATTGTATAATCCAATAAGACACAGTGCAATGTAGGAAACAGAATGACATTATTTGGATATGCTATTCGAAACATTTCAGTTGTTTAAAATTTATGTTAGAACAAGTTAATTTTACTTCTTCATTATATTTTCTTTTTCAAATGCTCCGATTCCAAGACTAAATCACTGTCTTATACAATTGAATATAAGGGGAATGGCTTTCATGTTTTTTTTTAAAAAAAAAACATTAAAGTATAATTAGAGATTTATTAATTTGTCACGTTCAACTATTGACATAAATAATCCTAGGAAAATTTAGCCAGTACCATTATATTAATATGATCATAACGTGATTAGAGAATAATTCCCAGATATATAAACATAGCAGACGTAATATTTATAATCACTTTGAGTTAATGATTTACTTTTAATAGTTGAATTCATAAGTCGATATAAGCTAAACAAATTAATTAGGCAGTTATAGTGCTTTTTAAGTAAATCCGCCTAGAGATCCCACAGAAATTTCATGATGAAGTTCCAGAAATTAAAGGAAGACTGAGAACATTTTGTTTAGTCAGTATACGCAAAGGAAAATTCTAGAAAACTGACAGGTTTTGTACCATTCTATGATTGGAAGATTACTCATTCTTTTATCATTTTTAGCATTCTCCCAAAAGTTGGAAGTCTTTAAAGTTTGCCGATAAACCAGTAAATACTCTTATTTTGTATGCATTGAGGAACCTTGAGGTAAAAATAATCTTAATTCACTCTCTTTCTCTACTATTCAGGGCTCAAGTGTAAGAGTATATAAGAAATTTGGAAACCTTTTAGGAAGTTATTAACAAGCATTTGAATACCAACACACGCCAAGATATTCCAGTAATGATATGGTATCCAATACTTTATGGAATTCATCTCATCACAGTGAAAAGTAAAGAAGATACGGATTGTAAGTTGCGTTTATTTTTTTTTGACTGATAACACTAAATAAAATCAATAACATATAAACTCTTTTCTATACAATATGTGCTATAAGATTTATGAGGTAGTTGACTTCATTTTATACTGCAATCCCAATAGTACCCCAAGTCTTAAAAAAAAATCATTACGATGTTCTAAATTTCCATTAACCTCAAACACGATTCAACAAACATTATGAATAGGGATAAACTTAGCTTAGAGGTTACACTTTAAACTTAATTAAACTAAATTTGTCAAACCTACAAAGTAGACAAAATTACGAGATATTATTGATTAACTAGTCAAAATTTTATGCATTCACAAGTTAGTCATAAACTAAATACACTATTGGGAATATATATCATAATTAAAGAGAATAATACACTTCTGAATTCGTATAGAAACATAGTTTACCAAAAGTAACATATCCAATTCAAAATAATTAAGAATATTTCACTATCAAGAAGTACATAACATAAATTATATCAAACAATCTTTATGATGAATTCATTGATTCCTGAAAAAAGAAAACTGGCATCCTCATTTTAACTTAGATAGTTATTCAATTGTAGACTTTATAGATAAACATGTTATTATGAGATAGTAGATGAGAATGTGAATAATCTTGAAGAAAATATGAAATCATTAGTTTTTCGCATGAATAGTTTCTAAAACTGTTTAGCTATAACAACAATAGTAATAATATTAGTTATCATTACCAAGGTTTGACTTGATAATTTCGAATAAATTGAGCGTTGGGTAGATTGTTATAAATAAATAATATTTTTAAAAAATATCCGAATGAGTAGAAAAATCAGATTTTCTAATGTTTCGTGACTTAGTGTAAGCCACTTCTTCAGAGAATAGTAATTATAATATTAAGTTGTTTAGTACATAATCAGAAAGCCATGAATTGTTGTTTAGTATGTTATGATGTTATAATGTTAAAACAATACTGAAACTTTATAATTATCGAAGTATAGTTCAAAAAAACAATCCATTTCTGTAAAATGCCCATAGAGCTCTAATGTTTAAAAAAATAAAGAATTCATTATATTGTGAAACTGAAAATATAGTATTTAATATGTATATAAACACATAACTTACGCATTCCCATTGTGAAACCATTTAATATTTGCTGGACTTAATGGTGGGTTTGCCTTAACATTGCATGTTAATTCAACTTCTTCACCTAAACGAATATCTTCATAACGTAATGGTTTAATTAGAGATACATGAACATCTGGATCCATCCCTTAAAAGAAAATAAACAAGTAATAATAATAATACAATTCAAATAACCTTAATGAGAAGCGAAAACAGTAATATGCATAAAACACATATCAAAATTGTTCAGAGGAATTCAACGAGTATCTTAGTATATTGGGGGACTGCTTGAATGTCTGGTCTACCAGTTCCTGTCATCTAGATATTACAACAAGTTATGTGTATTTTGTTTGCTTCAACAGATCATTGTATTAATTAATTGCATAAATTATTTAGGTGCGTTTGTGAAACGTTCACAACCTTTCGCTTTACAAGTTAGGAAAGAGTACAATGAAAGACATTGCGATTGCTGTGAATATGCATCTAAAAGGAATGTACATTATTCAGATGTTGATGCATGAGCTGCTAACATATACATAACACGACTATTATTTGCTTATTATTACAACAAAAAGCAGAAAATTAACTGCATTCATCATGTTCTACGCTTCATTGTTTCTGTTGTTATGATGGCTAGTAAACAGCACCATATGAAGATTGAATAGATATACTTCAGTAAATAATTCAATATGTTATTTGTGCGTTAATTCATCAGTTGTTTTAGTGTATTGCCATCCATAAATGATAATTTTTTTACTCAGATATGTACTCAGTGTGTCCTAGATATGGACCTGATGAGGCTTGTTTCATATTGTATGTTGCGGCCTTGTAATTTAAGCATATAGTTGTGTGAATATAAAATGGTTACTTACGCCTAGTCATAGTTAAACTGGTGATTTAAGAAAGTCGGTATTTTCGTGATTCAACGATGGCGATTACTACCTCACTTAGTATTTCAATCCAAAAAAAGAATGCATTATATCAGGGGGCGGTCAAATGATCTAGTCATATGCTGGCACTTATTTTCGATTTCGTATACTGTAGACCGAAAAATATACTTTATTTGCTAAGGCAGCTGACACCACATTATTTGAAAGGAAGGGTTACAATGACCAGAACGTTAGTCTCATTTATATTCTGCATATTTAAAAAATAGGGTTTCTTAATTTCAGAAAAACGAACGATAAGACAAGCTTATGAATTTAAAAATATAGCAATAACATAACTAGCTGCACCAAACTTTAACAGTGTGAAAGTTATAGTCTTTTAAACAAACAAAAATACATTCCGTTTTATGGGTGGTTAAAACTTGTATTCTTTATTCATATTCATTTATCCAACCCATTCAGTGATGATATGCACATAAACCTTAAATTAATCTTCTGACAATGAACAGAATAGTTCCCAAACAGTACTATCACCAGTGCAATTTTACTAGACGGTTTATCAAAATCATTAAAGATATTAATCAATTTTACAAGATATCTGATAATGTTACCAATTTGCCAAACACATGTTTATCTACTCGACCTTGAGCTACACTAGTCATGTGAGAGCTAGTAATATGAATCCGTTTTATCAAACCAAAATGGGTATTGTGGTGTTTGGAATTCTGATCTAATGATTGGAAGCCGAGAGCTTCCATCACTAAGATATACCTGATAAACCCTAATAATAATTCATGACAAGTAAGATACTAAGATTTTCTACTATAAAACAGACAATCATTTGATCAAATTCAGCCAAGAATAAAAAGTACTACCATAGGACTAATTTTCCGCATTGATCATAATGAAACTTACAGTAAATGTTTACTTTTGCTTCTCTGCTAGCTGTCGTGAAAGTTGAAGAACGGTTCAACGCTTGGCATTGATAGGTACCAGGATCTAATTCACGATCAGCATGTAAAATCTGTAAATTACTATCCACTTCAAGGTAACGTCGACCACTCTCTTTTTCCAATTGTAAACGTGTACCATTATGTAACCATGAGTAATAAATATCTTTTGATGGAGTTACAGCACATCTCAAACGTAATGGTTGTCCTTCTTCAACATCTTGGTCATTTGGACTGACAGTAAAGTAAAAACTATCACTGGATGCACCTAAAAATCGTAAAATATGAATAAAAGAGTATGCTTACTTATCTCTCCCAGTTTTTATCAAAATTGGATAATATAAATGAACAATTGAGCACAATAAAATCAGATTAAGATAACTTGGAGTTGACTTGATGCAGTGTGAGTAAGCTTTAAGTTGTAACAGATAGGTGTACAGGAACTCTTTACTGTTATGTATCTTAAAGTAATCATCAGATAGCACTAGATATAGGTTTCTTGTAGGTTGACGATCGTTAGAAAGATATATCTTCAATCCTGTATGAATAGATTCTACCTGTAAGATTTGAATCTGGATAAACCGGTGGTATGTTATCACTAAGCTGCTTAGGTTATGCCCAACCTGCATTAAGACTTTAATATTGATCACTGAGTAATGATAAATGTTATGTTACTCTTTAACGGACCACTGTAAATTAAAAAGTCAATTATCCATACAAATTCACTAAATTCTATTTTATTACTAAATAGTATATCGAGTTCGTAAGATAGGTACCGAATTACCATGATAAAAACCAACTTTTCTAGTTTGATAATTTCAATATATATCGATCAAAAAGGATTGAATCATTATCAGTCATTCAACTATATGTTAATTATTCCTTTCGCTTGGTCATTATTACTAAACTGTAGAGAAGATAAAATTGATTGAATAAAATCTCATTTTGTAGTTAATTTATTGACATATATTTATCCTACGAAAGTTATTAAACATCAACCAGCAATCAATGATATGATGTAAACACATTCATACAATTTACACGTACATAACTCTTTCTTTTCTTTTTTTTTTTTTTCATAAACCATCATATCTAATGATGTAATAAGAAATACAGAAAATGTTTGAATTTCAGTTCACTGGGTAACATTAATTTTATTAATGTGTAGATAATGTAGAAATATTGAGATTCTACAATATTTTGTATTTTTAAAACAGGTAAATATGACATATTCTATATTGTGACTAACTGTATCGTCATTTCAGATTAAATCAATAATGTACATTGTGTATATATACAGGTATATGAACTGCCAAATCAACATAGCACGATCGATAGATAGACGAACAAACAAGTTAAAAATGTAGACATATATTTATATATATTCCAGTTAAAAAGGAATAAGTCATGTTTTCTTTAGTTATTCTTTAAGAAAAAAATAACAACAACAACAACAACAACAACAACAGAACAACAGAAGTCAATATTTGTATGCAAATGAATGTCACACATGTTCGTGTATTTAGACATTTAATATAATAATAATAATCATAGTAATAATGATAAAAAAAATCGTAAAGGTGGTAACACAGTTAAAAATGACCCATCATGTGACAAAAACATGTAAAAGTTTCTCAATTAACCAATCACTAATACAAACACAGACGTATTCATGTATACAGGAAGTTAGATAATATATATTATTGTATAAATTGAATATTTTCAGATAAATTACAAGTTAGTTAGTTTGTTTTTAATGTTTATTATTGAGTGATTTTTAATGTAAGAAATCAATACGTCACATTATGTATTCATTGAAGGAAGAAAAATTAACTACATACTAGAGTGATATCCGTATATAGAAGAAACATATTCCTTAAACTATTTTCATCATAAATAAGTGTAATGTTTTTGAACTATTGAGTTCAATATAAAAGAACCTACAGGACTGACAGGTTCTGGGTTCGAATCTCGCGAGGGACGGGATTGTGGATGCTCACTGCTGAGGAGTCCCATACTAGGACAGAACTGCCGTCCAGTGCTTTAAGGTTTTCCATAGTGGTCTAGCTTCAATCGACTCATGATTTCAACTATTGAAATTTGAATTATTCGCGATTGATACAATCCTGAAATTTCCACATTTTCATAAGCAAAAATTTGATATTACTGAGAGTATTTAACCTGGAAAACTAATGTTCCCAAAGATAAACACAATACTCTACAGACCATTAAGCTGAAAATGTAAACCATAGATGTCAATTAAGTGGCTTACAATGTAAGGTGATTGTTGTAAGGCTTGAAAATTATTCACTTGTTGCTTGTTGGAGTGTCTTAGAAGCATACGTCTCAGGATCGCAACTGTCATTATGTTCTGGTTTCCTCTAACTGTCTAGCCAAGATTGGTCTGCGACATTAACCATACAATTTGTTAGTGTATAACATATCTGTCTCTTATTCACTATGCAACAACTGTGATTCGGGATCTCCCGAAAATTAATTTTTCAGTGGTTATAAACAAAGTCTCTTTTAATACTTTGGAGTTCTTATACATTTAAGTTCACCATAAATGGAACAATAATTAAATCTCAAATATCTATCGCATACTAGATAACATTATCAAATTTAGTAGGGAAAGCCTGAGTCGATATTCTTCAAACTAGCGGAACTACTCAAGTTATCTATAGTCTTTATGAAGTTTTGAATTAATTAATTAATTAAAAAAGTTGTTGATCTTTAAAATTATGATTTCAACATTATTCAATCATGTGAATACTCCAAATCAAACATTTTAAAGCAAATACTGAATGTAGAAATACTTTATTTGAACCAACTGAACAGGATATATGTTCCAAAGGAGAGAAAAGCATTGATTACAAACATAGAATAAACATATTTGTGAAAACTCATATGGCTGTAGATGTGTTTAAGAATATCAGTGCTTAAAATACAATGTAAATTAAATAGAAGTTAATAGATAACTTGAAAAAATCTACTTTTTACATCACCTTTGTGTCTTTTGTCAAAAACATTTGTAGGGATACAACTAAAAACAGTCATTGTCCATCCAACAACTTAACTATAAAGAAAAATGTTAAGAATTGTCACGACAAAGTTTTTATTTATTTAAACACATAAACATTGGTACAAGGAGTCACTAAACAGATATACACCACATAAATCATTCGGTTTATGTGAGAGCTGGGATATTGCCAAAATCGAAGTTATTTGGTAGAAATAGGTTAACATATACAAATCTACACTTAGACAAGCTTTTTCTCACTTTTTAGCAATAGTTTTCAAAAAAAGAGATAAGAAAATGTAACTACATTTCCTTGAATACTGTTTTGTTATAACATACTACTTCAGACATCATAGTATATATGACCCTATTAGTTATTCCATCAATTAAGTATAGGAATATATCAACAATTTGTTCTTGGTTTATTGAATAGAAAATCTTTCAAGCTTTCTAATGAATTTATGTGACTAAATTTCTGAATCAACTTTTTTCCATTCATGAATAAAACCTAATTGTATACCAAAACATTAAACAAGCTCAATAGAACTTGACTATTCTCAATCATATTATCATTTTTGAAATTTAAGAAATTAATGATTAAGTTATGGATAGATAGCTTATCGCGAACGAAATATTACACTAATGAATGTTTGTTACAGTGCTTAAGTTACTTGTTAGAATGTGCTCATATATTCCATTGACTACTAACTTTTATGCATATAAACAAGTTTTAATTTATCAATAGAAGAAGCGAGTTTCAGTATTATTATTATTATTGTTTTATGTGTAATATCATCAGTAACAATAATTAGATTACATGAAACATGATCAATATCACATAAACATTGAAATGGATTATACAGTTATCTAATACTTCTTTGCTATGTGTATATAATTTCAAAGAAAGTAATTGAATTTTGATCAATTGAATAGAGTTGCTTTTAGAAAAAAGAGAGGTGGCAAACGATATACCTTTCATTTAAACAACATAATTTAATTGATTTCACAGTATAACATACATGAAAACATGATTTTCAAGATATTTTAAATGTTTGCATGATTGATGGACAAAAATTTGAACCAAATAATTTTAGATAAGTTATAATTAGATATTAGAATATGAATATAATAAAGCTTATTTTTCTCTATACGTATTGATGATAAGATTAAAGGTGAGATTAAATTATATTTGGGATAGTTGTTAAGATTGAAATTCAGTATCAATTCTTTATCCTAATTGGGACTAGCTAGATACATGTATCTGAATCGAAGTATTAATGCTCACATTGAGACGTGTACTCAGTAACCACTGATCTAAATACTAAAGTGTTAGCCAACTTGTTTAGTTAACATGATTTTTAATTATTACTTGGAGATATTTTTGTTTTTACATTGTTTTATTTGGTATTTCAGGACTGTTTATCTCAATCCCTGTGTTGTTGTATATGATCAGTTCAATCTTAAATGTCAATAAAAAGAAGATTTAAAGCGTTACAATGAACAGTAAAGTTGGAGGTATGTCCAACTTTCAATATCACATTTTCAAGAATGTGTATTGTGTGAATTTCAATGAATGTACGATAAAATTCAGATGGATACACTGAAACATAAGACTCATAATATCTGATATCAAGAACTACCAATTTAGTATGCAGACTAACCATACTCATTTGTTTTAACAACAGAAATTCCAGACTTATGAATAAATTAATTGTTACAATTGATATCTCAGTTAAGAAAATATTTCTCGCTACATTTATTTTATGAATGAGAATTAACTACAACAATTAATCGTTTTCCATATGCCCCTAAAGTTAACAAAATAACGGTTGGGTAGTTGATCATTAAGGATCATTAAGAGCAACGCTATTTGTATTCGAAACTTTTTGATCAGTAAATAAGTTGTATAAGCCAAAGAATGACGAATATGTCAATGGTTAGAAAAAAACATTTGGTTTTATATGGTTTGGTATAAAAAAGACAAATCTTAACAGCTTAACTTCTCTCCAAATCAACGTTCCAATGTTTGGCTTGTCTGGGTTTTTAAAAAAAGACTTTACATGAATATGTAGATATCGATCACTAATCAACCGACAGGCCGGTCGTAACATTTGGTTATTTATTTATTAAGTTGTCTATTTTCTCATTTCTAAATCTTTGTTATTTTGCTTTTCAAAATCCCATAAATCAAAAATCGTTTGTGAATACTGATGCATTTTTAGTGTACTGTGTGTGGCCAACATTGTGGT